TCAAATAGTTCTTATCTTCATCAATTGACTGGGCTAGTGAGAGAACGCGAACAAAAATGATAAATTCTTTAAGGAAAAAAAAAAGGTAAAAATCCATCAAGAAAGCTCACCAGTTAAGACAATTGCCTTGACATCATTCCTCCCCATTGCCTCCCTGTACTTCTCCTTCAATCCGGCAGTAACTGGAAAACAAACATGATAAAATTCAACGATAAGCTACCCAGAATTGAGCACAAGTAATTCACAAGAATGCTAGGATTTGTCCAGTTTCCCGAAATCTATTATATCATATTATACATTTTTTTTAAGTGACATCCATCCGTCGTGCCAATCGAACAGCACCAAAATATCAGCTAAACATTGATCAAAAAAACAAGAAGGAAAAAAAAAAAAAGAAACACAACCGTCCTTGTTCATTCAAAACAATATTAAATTCATAAAACAATACACACACAAAAAACCAAATACATTCCAGTTCCACTTAACAGATCATACTATTTTCCGGAGCAACACTAATAGATTTCGATAACATCATCAAACTTCAAACAAATTACACAAAGCTAAATCCAGCTCAAATACAGCATCACTTCAAAAACCTAGCCGCGCCAAGACTTAAAAACGCAGTTAAATGTGTAGAAAACAAACAATAAAAACAGAGAAACATCGCAAAAAGTTACTCGATGGAGCGAGCGCATTGACAGGAGGATTCGACATTGAAATCACAGCCACTCCATCGCTTCCGACCTCCATCACCACTCGAGCCCTCGCCATTAATCCAATCGGAGAAATCGCCTGCTGCCGATTTCCTCTGCTCGTCCGACTCCAAACGGAACTCGCAATACACCAGAGCACCACGGGTCCGAGCTGTATAAATAATATATGGCGGCCATTAAAGACGGTGTTTGCCTCCTATATGAATCTAAGTTAAATAGAATTTAATAAATCTGAAGTACGGATTCATCAAATCTAGTGTGTTGCATGGGAACAAGATATTTGGCAGAATTTAGAAGTTGTTTGGTTGTAGGCTAAATTTATTTTAAATAAAATTTATTAAATCCTGTAAATCTGATCTTCGCCGAATTCTCGAGCGACGGCAGCAATTAGATTTATTAAATCCAAATTTACATTAAAATTTTCATGTTTTTGATGTTTAGTTTAGATTTGAGCTCAATTCCATTTAAATCGGTTAAATCCAGCCATCCATAAGATCTGAAAGAAGGATGTTATGCTACTAAGTATGAATTTAACTAACTTTTGGATTTAGCTTACTATTTTTTGTTGGTAGAATTTACATTAAATGTGAGTCCAGAGTCTGGACGTAAAGCTGAGTTCGGACAACAGATGCGATACAACGGAAGGAGCGGAGGAGAAAAAAACGGACCTCTGCTTTATAGTGTCTGTTGTCGGGACGCAGCTTGCGCTTGGACTCCAGACACAATATTTTTCATTAAAAAGAGTCTACCAAACACCGTCTGTTGTGAAAAACTACAGTAATAAAGCGAAAAAATTGGATCGAAAAAAAAAACGCAAAATAGAAAATACAACGGAAACACACATATTTACTCGGTTCGGCAATTTGTCTACGTTCACAGAACTGCAAGGGATTTTATTACTTTGAGGAATATACCTTACAAGAAAGCACTCTTCCTTTCTCTCTCCTCTCCTCCTCTCCTCTTTCTCTCTCTACCCGAGAGCTTCAAACCGAAGCACAACAAAAGAAGAATCTAGAAAGCTACCAATGCAAAAGAGAAATGTCTGGGAAATCAAATCCCAAAAGAGATTACAATGGTAGCTAACATGCTTATTTATTAATTTCATCATGTCATTAGACTCATTAAAGAATTAATCAAGCTCATTGATTATTTCATTTTCTCTCCTACAACAAATCATAGAAAGAATTAAGAACAATTAATTTCGAGCATCAAATCCAATTTGCTGTCAAACATCAGAAAAAGTAAATTTGAACAGTTGATCGGTTTTCATATTCACAACACCATCCTAACAGAATTTAGTCATGCCATGAATTCAACTTAAATCTAACTAAACATAAAAAAATCAAAATTAAATCCAACTTTATTTTAAATTGAATTTCTTTGCATTCCGTATCTTTTTATAGTGCTCCATATTTAATAAATGCGACTCATGAATTTAAGACTTTGCTTTTGCCTGTGACCTCCATCTTCATCACAAGTTCATCAGATTTACTGAATTTGATAAATTCTATTTAACGAAGATTCACACCGCAGTTAGATGTCGCATTTATCAGTAAATTTAATCACTCCGTAGACAAAGACGAACCTCACAAGCGATCACAAAATAAAATTACAATCTATTTTTCAATTTACAAAAAAGATGAAAAATGAAAAAAAAAATTATTTAAGAGAATATTGAATTTCATTTTTATTTTTTATGGTCAATTGAATTTAAATTAAATTGATAATTAAGTTTTATTAAAAGAATGCTACCAAACACATTTTTTATTAAATGCGCCCTTTCCTCTAACTACCTGAGAGAGCGTGTGAAAGCGTGGGACCATTGACACGGAGCGCGGACGATTCATGGGCCGTGGAAAGGACAGCGAAGATACCCGGCGGGCCCGGAAGAAACGATGACCGTCAAAATCCGACAACTACTACCAAACGGACGGTCAGCATTGCGGAGGTATATTTGTAAAAACGTTGAGAAATTAATGAAGACCAAAAGACCTGGACCGTTGGATCCGTTGACCAGGATTTCTTCTCTTTAGCCTGAGGTCTTGTTGGCGCCGAGCGTGGAAAACGTTGGGTATTATTTTGTTCAAATCACGTGGCTCTAAAGTCTAAATCCTAAGGGCCGGCGAGGAGAAATATTTATGTATGTAACACGTATTTAAAGTTGAATATATATTAGGTTATTCGGAGGGTACAAGAATGTTACATTTAAGTTACAGAAATAATTATAAGGGGTATAATCTAAGTGTAATCTAGTTGTGCCCTCATAATAATTTAATATGTACATAACTCTGCTTATGTCTTAAGTATGGAAATATTTCTCGCCGGCGAGGGACCTAAGAAATTTTTAGTTTTAACACATTTGAATAATAAAAAATTGAGAAATTTACCTTTTTTCATAGATATATTTAAAAATTCATTTCTACAAAAATATCCCGCTTTTCTAGTTTTATTTATTGAAATGCACCCCACAAAATAAATTAATTTAAATAGACGTTTAAATAATTTATTGTAATTCTCACACTAAAGGACAACATTTAAACTATCATCTATGGATTGTATCTCATGAGAAGAGTTGAGCGCTATGAATTTAGCTCTAAGATCGTTAATCACTCGAAAATTTATTCAAATTTTAGCTTGGATCGAGGTCGGACTGAAATAAACGAGCCTAGTTAAGAGCCGAAATTTTGGATCGAAATTTTTTCAATCCAACACCAACTTGGCTCGAAATTGGATTATTAACAGCTCTGGTGATGTTAGAGCAGTGAATTTAGCAAAATTAGTTCGAATGTTTTTAGTCGCTCGAAAATTAATTCAAATTTTACGTCGGATCGAAATAAACAAACCGAGCTACAAGCCAAAACTTTTTATCAAATTTTTTTTCGTACCGATTTTTGGCCGACCCAACTCAGCCCGAAAATCGGATTATTAGCAGTCCTACATAACATCTATAACATGCGATGGAGTTCGTAAGGTTTAGGAGAAAGAATTAAAACAAAATTCTAAATCTTTGCACAAAGACTGACATTCAAAAACAGTCTGTAAAAGAAGAGAAAATATTACATTCAAACAATTGACTCTTTTTGTTCCTCTCAGTTTGCGTCCGGACTCTGAACACAATAATTTTTCATAAATAAGAGCTGTGAAAGAGAGATTGATAATTTCTTTCAAAATGAACTTTGAGACCTACTATAATGAGGCATAATTAAGAGGTCCAAATTACCAAAATAAACTATGAAATTGATATACATGTGTAAAGTTTTTATGTACTTATATTTAATACAGAAATTTTATATTTATTTTTATAAAATCTTAAAGAAATTTACATATATACCACCCAACTTCTATGTATTTATATATTTGGCACTCAGGCTACAAAATTTTACAATATACCATCAAAAACTTTCAAGTCGCATCAAAAGTACCACCATTTATATATTTTCATGCATAACTAGGGGTGTAAACGAACAGAGCATGTGTTCGTGTTCGGTTCGTTTGAAATTTAGTTTATTTGAAATAAGCTCATGTTTGAAATTGTTCGTAAAGTCACTGTTCGTGTTCATTTTTTAACGAACGAGCCGAACACGAGTTGTTCTCAAACGACGAGCCAATTTGACATCCCTAATATTAATATATATATATAATATATTATATTAATTATATAATTCATATTATATAAATATATAATATCTATATTAGTACCATACTAATATAGTATATTAATATATTATTATTATTAAT